ATATATAGATGTATGTGAAATCTAGCAATAGTAAAATGTTAATAATAACTAATAATAATTAGTAAATAATAACTTCACCAGGGGTCCATAATGTTATGTCTTCCCATATTTCACATATTTTCTGCTTTCATTGTAAGTTTTGATGACTCATTTAATATTTCCCCAAGATAAATTTATCAGGAAGCAAAATATTAATCAAGTGTAGATGATGTGTCATAGTTCCAATTGCAGCCTTTTCTTTAAAAACCTCAATTTTTCACATTTTATAAAAGGCAAAGTGGTTATTTTATGTTTCTTGAATCCAAAAAGTAACATGAAAGGTTGCTACCTTTATGTCTGCTTTGGAATGAGATTGGCATTCTAGAATAGCAAACAGACAATCATGTGTTTATTTTTGTTAATATGAAGAGATTTATATAAGCAGAATAAAGTGTCTAATCTGGCAAAAATGAAAAATTTTGTCATATTATTCTCAGCCAAAACATTATTCTACATCTATTTATTTCTTCTTAGACTCCTCCAAGATAACGAGCATTTTTCAGAATGATTTTTAAAAGGATAAATAATTTTTATATGTGTAAAGTATATATTAAGAATTGAACTGATAGATTAATCAATTTAATAATTGTCATAATGACCTTATAATACATTTATATTATTACACAGCTTCATGCTATGAGCCAGCTGCAGCTATTCTTGAGGAATAAGACTCTGCTCACCATCATCATGCCTTAATAATCTCCCATTACTGCAAAATGCTCTACATAGGGTTGCCCTTGAAGAATATTTAGAAGCTTCAGATGATGCAAAAGTTAGTCATACAGGCAGTTATGGGTGGCTGTAATTCAGCATGTGTGATACCCCTACTCAACAAGCTGCATTGGTTTCCAGTTTGCTTCCATATGTAATTCAAGCTGCTTGTAGTTACCTTTAAAGCCATACATTGCTTGGGAATAGATCACTTACAGAACTGCTATATCCAGTTTTCTGTTAGAGCCAGCAAGAGAAGCATGTTCTATATTCCACCTGATATCATAATCTAGTAAGAACCCCAAAGAGATTTTTTGTTGTGAAACCCTGTGGAACATCATTCTACCCTAAGACAAACTTGCATCTACCCGTCTAGTCTTTCACGAAGGTCAGTTAAATTCCTGTTTTGTCTTTGACCCCCATCCCTGATGGTGGTTGTATGAATCGTTGTGTGTGATTACTAATTATTACCTTTAGTTATTTTTCTCAACTGCTATTTATGTTATTTATAGTTCTGCTATATTTTATTATTGTGAGCTACCCAGTAACGTGTCTGAGATGGACTGTCATGTAAATTACTCTATAAATAACTTTTCCAAAATGGCCAGCTGCATTTTGGAATTGGTAATGTAAAATCAATTCATTTTTACTGATGAATTGGTTTAAACCCAAATAATTAGTTAAGAATTATTTATCAGACAATGCATTATAATTATGCATCATTTATGAAGTATTTTTTCCCATATATACAATTTGATTGGACTCTTTAGCTGCATTAGAAACTACTGAATTGTTATTACGATGGGATCGAGCTTGGGATAATTCTTTTTTTTTCATTTTTCATTTTTATTTTATTATATAAAATACAAAAAAGAGAAGAAAAATAGAAAATTAAGGGAAGGAAAGGGAATGGGAAAAAGGGTTGTGAGATACAAGGGGAAAGAGAAAAAGAAAGAAAAGGGGCCATTGATTTCCAACTCTTCTTAGCACAGTACAAGATAAATGCACTCCAACCTGAACTTTTTACTTTTACACATTAATATATAACTAGCCATTCCTATAACACCAAATCTTTTTAATCAACAAAAACCAAGGTCAAAGTTTTTTTTAACTTTTTCTTCACAAGCACCAATTCCAGAAGTGATATCTAAATAAGAACATATTTTCATTTTTGAATAAAATAAATCAATTTAACCATTGCTACTTTATTTTCCTTGCTATAGAAAGAATGTGTATTTATTTCTATTTGCAACTAGTAATATTTGCCAAGTGTCTCCATTTTTATTTACGAAATTTATTGTATTCTTTTTTATTGATATGTTTATATCAATTTATTGATATGTTGATATCCCAGAGATGTTTAGTGAAGATATATGTACAAACTTCACTATATTGCAAGTGTAATATATATATGGAAGGGACATTGGCATATATTTTGTGAGCCTGTTCTGCAATTGTCTTGCTTTCTTCTTGGCCCTCTCTTTTAAATTCAAGTTCTGCTTAAAACAAAAGTAATATTTTAATCCCTGTTCCCAGTCTTATACAAGCCAGTCAGGTCAAGTCTTGCAAGCTCCTGACTATAGCAGGACCATAAAATCATATGGCTCCAAGTTTTGATAAAAACTTTGGAACTGATACTTGTGAGGAGCTTCTGCACACATTAGTATTATGGAAACTAGCCTCCCATGGGGTATTTCTGCTGTTGTTATTAAGAAGCTCCTGACAGCTTATAAGATATTTAGATATTAGTCCTCATTGTCCCTGGATGCAAAAGAACCAATTGTTTGGGCACCTGATCACTTGGCAAAACAACATCCAAACCATTTCTTGATAAAAATGGTTATTTGAAATGTTAAAGAACACTAACCAACAATTAACCAAATGATGAAAGGATAAAGAAAGGCAATGGGCAAATTAAAGAAAGGAATAAGCTGTCTCTTCTCTCTCTTTTATCTATACTTTCTGTCTTTTCTCTTCAGAATATGATTGACTGTTCTAATTATATTTCATGATTATATCTCCTGTCTATAGAAGCAATTTTTGTTTCACCTTTAAAATTGTTACAGCTAATTGTCTCCCTAAATGGAGAGATAACTTACACTTAAATCATGTTGAAATTGTAGGACTAAACATATCAGAAAGTGAATTATGGAATGAAGAAAGGAAGAGATATATTCTAGACTTCATAAAACAGCAAGTAGACATTGTCTCTTTTGTTCCTTCACCAGAGTATTGGTGGTGAACTCATTATCTCAGTGAGGGAATGGATTTCTCATGTTTTGCTTCAAAAGCTCTATTTTAGACATCGGGCACTCTTGCCCATTTCCGAAGGTGAAATATCAGAATGATTCAGGAGTGGCTGAAATGATTTTCCTTTTCAGGGTTTTTTTTGGTTCTATTTTCTTCTAAATGTTTATTTTCTCTTTCTTCTAAGACACAGATTGTGAGATGTTCAAGTACTCTGGTTGCAAAAGCAGAACTAAGTGCCCCTGGGAAGAAATAATAATGAAAATAATAATAGATCAGCTGTTTCAGTGTCTCTGAAATTATTTTAAAAGTTACTTAGGAACTTATCTAGGGAAGATTGACAGTAAAATTAGAGTTAAAAAGTTTTTTAAAAAGGATAGAACTGTAATTCCAGGAGTTATTTTTGAGACTAAAGCTGTCCATTGGAGTAGATGAGCTGGTTCATGTTAAGAAAGCCTTTCTAGTTTCACGAACTGTAATTCTGCCAAGTTCTATTTGTTAGTTTAAAGGTCCAGGAAGAAAAGAATTATAGTAGACTGAAGAATTGGCTTTGCTGAGATTATTTATCATTTTTCTTTGTGCCATTTTCTCCATCTAAGTAAATCTGCAAAAGAAAAATATGTGTATTTTTGCCTTCTTTCATGTGAAACTTGCATTAAATCCTTTATCTGGCTGCCCATCAAAGAAGCAAAGGTAAAGAACATTTTCTTTTAATGATAATTTTTTCATATTAAGGATTTATTCCCCTGAGACTGCTGATATTACAAAAGTTTATTAGCTTTTAACCTGAGTAGCCTTTTTAATTACATGTCAAGATTTCTCTGCTGACCCTATTTGAATTTATTTTTCTTGACAGTAATCTTTATTCCTGCAGAAGGAAGGATTGGAAGTTTTGACTTATTTCAAGTGAAATAAATTATACATCAGCCAACTGGTGTGGGAGAATTGATTAAGCACTTATTGTTAATGTGCTTTCTTTCCCTGTGCTATGATATCTAGGAGGCAAATCCATTGTACCATTAAAAGAGGGAAATTCAGGATTTCTTGGCAATCTGTAATATTTGTGCAGTTAAGAGGATAGGATTTGCTTTCATGAATATTATTTTCTTACCTAAATAGAGATCCTACCCAGAGACTTTATAATCTTCCAGACAGGCTAGGAAAACAATATTCGAACATCTAATGTCTTTGCCAAGCTTTTCAGGACAATAAATTGAAATCTGCAGCATGACACTTGATTTTTGTTATGCAAAAATGTTTTGTTATGCTGTAAAATATTGCAGGTTTGTGTAGAATACATGCATTTACAAAAATTTTCATTTTCTGACATACATTATTTATATGTTGCCTTATCTCCTAAGAAAGAGTGACCAGCAAAAAGCCTTTTGAATGAATTTATTACGTTCAGCAACATTTTATAAAAGGCTCTTTTATTGAAGTAGATTAATGGCAAGTATTACTTACTTGGCATCCATTTTCTATTTTATGATCAATCTTAGTACAAGTGGCTAAACGTAACCTACCAACAATATTTTTTCCATTTCCTAATTCCCAGCAACACTGCACTGAATGATTAACAAGCAGTCATTTTGCATGGCTAGGAACAGTGGATTGTAGTTGTTATCATTTTATGTTTATACAGATAAAATGAAAGTAACAGAATTACAGGGTTAGAAGTGAACTTGGAGATCTTCTAGCCCGATCCCCAGATCAGGCAAGAAGGTTTATACCATTTCAGACAAATGATTGTCCAAACTCTTTTTGAAAACCTCCAGTGTTGGAGCATCCACAATTTCTGGAGGCAATTATACCACTGATTAATTGTTCTAACTGAGACAATCTAGTAAAGACTAAAGACCTCTATTAAAGTCCATATTGTTGTTATGATACTGTTTGGATTTTTTTTTTAGTTTAAACCACTTCTCCTGTCAAGTTTCATATTACACCCAATGTTTTCAGAATTGAAATGTATATATATTTTTTTGTTTCAATCTGTAAAACAGATAGTACAACCGAAGCACCAGCAATATCAACATCTCCAGCTATCAAAATTCGGAAGAACAGTGTAACAATGACTGAAATCACCTCAAAAATCGATAAATTTCCTTCCACTGCCACCAGCAGTAGCGTGAGTTCCTTAGGAGAGACAGAAGAAGAAAAGGCCAAACGGTTGCTTTATTGTTCACTATGCAAGGTTGCTGTCAACTCTGCCTCCCAATTGGAGGCACACAACAGTGGTAAGATTGAGATTTTCAGGTGGTTTACAGAAGAGAAACCTAGAATTTCCATGAATTTATTAACAATTAAATGACAAAAATGAGAAGAAAAGAAATCCAGTATAAAAAAAGGGAAAGGAGGGGCTTTTGCAATTGCTCCATAGAAGCAATTGGATTCCTTCTTCAAATACCAGTTTTCAATTGATTGCATAAACTGAATACTGTTTTAGATGAAAGAAAAGAAACTAACATGGCTGAAGTAAGAATAACATTAAGCAGAATTTGAAAGGGACACTTAACGTTTGCACTGCTGTATTAGGAAAAACAATTGACCAAATATAAACATACATAGATTGAATGCACACACATCTTAATCAAAATTGTTCTTTTTCATTCTTCAGCATGGACACCTTTCATCAAATGAAATGTCTTACATTAATTGATTTCATAACCACTTAGAAAGTACTTTTTAAGGAGATTATATGAACAATCTAACTAGATGTATCATAATTGAAAATCTTTAAAGGAAAAAAATTCCTCATTTCCAAATCATATTTTCTTCTCTTGGACTTGAGTTCTTCGAACTATTTTATTTAGTACTGTTAATCTACAATCTAATTCAGCTGGTTCAGTGAAAGCCATGAAACATGCAAGCTCTGATCCACTGACTATTAGAAAAAGAAACCAATATAATAAAAATGTCAGTAATCCAACCTAGCCTTTAACCCTACCATTTATTTTACTCATTCAAGTATTTAAGATAGTAAAATATAGCTAATAAGTACAAGTATTTCCTATAATTATATATTTGAGATTATTTTATGTGGTCAATCATTTTTCATTCTTCAAATTTAGACTGAATTTATTGTAGCAACTTTTTTCCATTTTATAATTTTGTTATTTTTAGTTTGTGCATAGATCCCAAAATTATTGAATTTCCTTTATTATGTATTCCATAACTGTATTTATTTGTTAGATTTATTTCCTGCCTTTTCTCCTGGAAGTCATATATTGCATTCATTCTTCTGATTTTCCCCTCCCTGCATCTTATAAGGTAGGTTAGATTGGGCTGAGATTGATTGGTCAAATCCAGGGAGCTTCCTAGCTAAGATGAACCTGTAACTGGGTCTACTAGTTTTTTTGATATATCTGGACGATATTGGCATAAGCTCTGTTCAATCATTAAGCTACTGTATCAAACTCCTATATTCTTCTTCAGTTTTTTTATTATCTATTTATATGGGATGTTTCTAGAATAAATATTAGATTACAGTGCATTACTTTTCCTTCTTTGAGGAAGGAAAAGTCTTGTGTCACTTTTTAAATCATGATTTATTGCATGGGTTATTTCAAAAATGAATAATATCTCATATATACACAGAACATTATTGTTGTTATTTCAGTGGATTGTTCACACTTACATGTAATTTATGAAAATTGTTTTACTTTCAGTCTGATTCATTAAAGAAGCTGAAAAAGAGATCCATTTGGGATCCAGAGCTGGCAAATCTGAAAAATTCCCATACTTGCAATTTATAAGTATGGCTATTGCTTTTAGATCAAAAAGGATTTTGTGTACTTACTGCCTAACTTTTGTAAAATGTTTGGAAATAATTAATATTTTAAGTTGTTATGACAAATACTAACTTTGCATTTCCCTCCCCCTTTTAAAAAATATATGGACTCCTGGGAAATTTTTGCTATTGGAGAAACAATGGCATGGAATAGAATAGACCTTTATTATAAATACTTTAGTTTTTAGAAGCAATATTTTTCCTGGTAAAGACATCTAGAAGTTAATCATACATTCTTTTTAAAAAGGGTGACTGTGTTGCTATTTAATTTCTATTCCTTTCTATGGAGTGTGCACTATCAAAAAGGTTTTTTGAGATGGTGCCAATTCCTTCACTAGCAGCAGGTTTTCAAAATTATTGTTAATAATCCAATTAGAATATGTGGCAATGATTCAAACCAATGTACAAATGATTTTATCGTTTATGGGAAGACATGTTTAATTAGCTGCAGCTGGTGATCAAAATAAACTCTACATTTAGCTTCAGTGAGGATTCTCACACACATTAGTACATACTGGTGACAGCTTCTTTAGCATAAAAGTTGAGGAATAAATAACTTGGGGCCCATTAGTCATATGTGCCATGGACCTTGGGTGCATTAGAAATTGTATCAGTGTATGGAAATAATAATCATAACTTCCCAGGTTTTTATATGAAATTATAATTACTTAGGTAGCATTAATAGCTAGATATATGGATATACAATATTAATATGATTATCATTCATCAAATCAATATGAAGAATACAGATGGGTGCATAAAAAGTATCTGGTATAAAACCTGAGGTATAGCTAGAACAGCTTTTCCATTCTTTCCATTCTTTAAGTATTCAGACTTTGTAATATTCTTGGTTCTGACTATAGTGCTAAAGAAATTAAATTCCTCACATGTTGGAGAACGTTAATCCAGAGAAAGACGAAGGTTTTATTCAAACAATTTTCTAATATTATTCTTTTATATGTTTAACATTTTTAGGTACAAAGCACAAAACTATGTTAGAAGCTCGTAATGGGAGTGGAACCATCAAAGCCTTTCCTAGGACAGGTATTAAAGGAAAAGGACCCATCAATAAAGGAAATACAGGACTTCAGAACAAAACATTTCACTGTGAAATTTGTGATGTACATGTGAATTCTGAGACACAACTTAAACAGGTACTAAACTTTGGCAACTTATGTCTTTTATTGCTCCTAAACTCCAGAAGTTCAAGGTTCTTAAGTCTGGATCAGTAAAGCTGCCAATTTTTAGGAGTTTATGTGAGCCACTGATGGTATTATGATCATCTATCATTTGTCAAGAATGACTGGTGCTTTCCAGTTTTGCTATAATTTCAATATTGTGATTCCAGAGATTGACACAGATATCATAGTACTGTATTTTCAACTATAGAAATAAAAGGAAACATATCTATTTGAGTCCAACAATGCTAAAACATTATGGTGTGTGAATCAATCATATGATTCTTTGATTTCTTACCAACAGGATAGGGTAGTGCAAACTAGAGAGATAGACATTTCATCCCAACCTGCTGCTTGATTCAGCAAGGTGTCACATCTCTGAAAAGTTTATCATGTATTTTTCACATCCCTTTCCATGCTTCTGAACAGACAGCACATTTACTGGATTATTTCTAAGGCCACAAGGCATGTTTCTGAACAGTTTGCACAGCCATGCCATATGGTTCATGATGATTTTGTGCATTTGTTTTGCTGAATTATATTTTCATTAAACTGTCTTATGTTGACAATTATTTCAACTTAAATTATTTAAGAATGACATAATGTACCCTTGTGTTCTGTTATTTTACTTGCCCCATGTCTTTTGCAGAAAAATGGATATTTTGATGAATATGAATTGTTGTATAAACAGATTCTTCTCTAGACAAGAAGCATCAAATTAGGCCCAAAAGCTATACTCTTCCCCCTCAAAATTAGAAATCCTGTTAACTATACAATGTTATTTTTACAACATTTTTATATATAATCTAAGAGAGCATTATCTTGAGGAAAGACTAACTTAGGCAGTGGAAATAATATATACTATATTTATTTGGTTCAAAATGAGTGAAACACCTTTTAAAGTAAGTTTTTCCAAAGCAGACCACACAACCTAAAACACATTTATGCAGTTTACTGGCAGAGTCTGCCGATATATCAGAGGATGACATTCATATGCCCCAGATCACCAAGTTAGTAGTTAAAAAGAGCAAAACAAGATGAAGGGGGAATCCAAGATGGTGATCGAGGTGAATGCCTAACCACATCACTGGAGACAGGGAGTGGGGTCTGGGGCAATGAAGCCACGACCTACCTCAACCGGGATTGTCGTAAGGTTTCGGAAGGTTCCGAGAACAGAGAACTTGCTGGCAATCCCAAAAGTGAGTGGAGAGAGTGAGCAGAGAGGCCAGGACAACATTCTGAGTGGAAAGTCCATTCCGTAGGACGCCATTCCGAATAGGTGAGACTTGAAAGAACTGGGACTGGTAGATAGTGAATAGTGCAATTCTGTGCAGAGAGCGGATAGTGGAGAGCAGATAGTGCTAAGAGCCGGGACGAGCTGTGATTAGATGAGAGCGTGATTCTGACTCTTATAATGAGAATGATTCTGAGAGTGAACCGTTCCAAGCAGCATAGAGTGAACTGCATGGAATGAGCTGTGATTGGTGGAAAGTGTTATTCTGAACTGCAGAGAAAGAGACAGAACTGACCTAAACATCCTAAAAAGAGCTGGGACTGGAGGAGAGCTGGAGAGTGTGATTCTGAATGGCCAAGAGACTCACGGAGACTTGATAGACCCTATCTGAGAGGAATAATCTCCTAAACAGTCTTCATTTAAATCACCCATCTGATTAGTCAGCCTGCATTTAAACCCCCACTCAGCTGATTGGACAACCTCCACATAATCTCCACCCAAATTTCATCAATTCCAAACCCCCAAGTAGATGATTGGAAAGTTCATTCAAATCTTCTCCATCAAGCAGTAATGCTTCCTCTTTAAAAACAAAACAATGTGGCTTTAAGGAAAAACAAAGGAACTTTTCACTACAAACCTCCAATACTTCACTACCTCCACTATTTCATTACCTCAAAACCAATTATTGATAGATAATGCTTTGTCTAAAATAATCGATTTATCATTTAATAGTATAATAATTAATTGTTAAATGACCATCAATTTACTGATTTATTGAATTGATAGAGATTTAATACTGTATCATTGATTATCTAGTTGATTGATTGATTGATTTTTAGTAATAAGTAATCTTACTTTTGATTCATTCTCTAACTTATCAATTAACATTTATTAATTACCAACATTCATTAAGTAACTGTCTACCTATAACATTAATTAGCTATTGTAATTGTTTAGTGTACTATTGTCATTGACCATGCCAGCCAAAAACTCCAAATCCTCCACTACCAAATAACAACAAAAGAATAATATCTCTACCAATGACATCCCAGACTCCTGCACATGCTTCCAATGTCTTGAAACCATCAATGAAAATGAAAATAACACCAAATGCCACCTATGTGACAATCAAGCCCACCTTGCCTGCTTAAACTTAAACAAAAGCCTAGCTGATTTCCTAAAAAAAACAGATACATTCCCTTGTCTATGTCCATCATGTTTACCTAAGCTAAACAAACTAAGTATCCTGCCTGACAGAGTTGAAAGCATAGAATCATTCATTCACTCAATAGAAGAATGCTTTCTAACACGTTTTGAAACAACTATGCAAGCAAGCCTAATCTCTCGAAAAAAAATACAGAACAGATAAGCAAATACCTACCAGCTCAAACTCAAATCCCAACTCAACAACCACTACCACAACTACTACCTCAACTACAATCACAGCTACAATCAAAAATAAACACCAACCCACAGCCAAAACCAATCACTATCCCATCAAATAATTCCACAAATGATATCTCCTTACTCATCAGAGACATCATGGAATGTGATCAGAAACATCCAAATGCCATCTTATTTGGTCTTGAAAACATCAACGAATCAGATGATGTCACCAATATCATAAGCAACTCAAAAACAACAAACATCTCTCCTGAAGATATCATTGAAATAACCAGAGATGGCCCTGAGTTTAAATACAATGACAATTCGGTGGCCCCAGGATTTTGTAGAGTTGTTTGCAAAAATGAGTCCAGCAAACGTATATTCATCCATACAATATACACCATTGCAAAAACCAAACCCAGCCATAACAAACTTTGCTCAATACCAGACTTATCCATACTGCAAAGAATCTGTTCCCGTTAACTCCTCACAGAACTCAAAAAGCATCTAGACAATGGAGAGAAGGATCTGTACATTGATTACCGTGCTGATTGTATCAAAAGTAAGTCACACAACCCACAAATCTGCATCCAACCCTACATCATCCAACCCACTATCACTCAAAACTAGGCACTCATGCCCCTAACTACCTAAATTCCAACTACAACTGGCCTTAAATGCAAGCTACTCAATGCAAGAAGCCTTGTGAATAAAATACCTGAATTTCTCCTCTTACTAAATATGGCTAAATTCGACATCATATTTGTCTGTGAAACATGGCTCAACACATCTCTCCCTGACTCCATTACCACAGTAAGAGTCTATCATGTTTACCAATCAGATCATGAAATCCGTAGAGGAGGTGGTGTTGCTATCTTCTGTAAAAAGTCTCTACATCTAAAAAACATCCAAGTTACCCAGGAGCTAGCTCTTCCTGAGACCATCATCTGTGAACTGTCCTTAAATATCACATTTTGATTCTTATTATGTTACAGAGCCCCTGATTATGACCTCGAACATGTAAACAAATTAAATTCACTACTAACATGGGCAACATCCTGCCCACATGCTTTTATCTTTCTTGGTGACTTCAATCTACCTCATATTAACTGGACCCTAAACAAATGTAAAACTGAACTCATACATGCAACCTTCTACAATGCTCTAACAAATCTGGGACTGGAACAATTAGTAACCAACAATACTAGACTTAACAACTGCCTCAACCTCATCTTCTGCAATAGTTTGAATTCAATTTACAGAATACAAATTAAAGAACCCTTTTCCAACAGTGACCACAACAAGATTGACTTTTGTCTCAACATACACAAAAATCATCATAAAGTCCACACAAAAATCATCATAATGATGGGATCCCCAATTATAACTTCAAAAAAAGCAACTATGATCTTATAGACAACGATCTCTCATTTCTTGATTGGCAATTTCTATTCACTGGATGCAATACTATAGAAGACCATTACAACATATTTTCATTGAAATCAAAAGAATCATCAAAGTATATGTACCTATATATTGTTATTATACCAATAACAACTCCAAAAACCAGAAAAAAACAAATTACCCATAACAATCAGGATGCTTCAATCCAAAAAGAAATCACTTTGGCGGAAAAAGAAATCTGGTCATGTTGCCAAATTCAAAAGCCGATACAAAAATATCTGCCACCAGATAAAGACTGAATGCACCAATTAGCACATTAAACAAGAAGAAAACCTTCTACGCACCAATTCCACCTAAGCTTTTTACAATTTTGTAAACAACAAACTAAAAGACTCAAGGTCCACCCCCGCCCCCGAAAGGATCTAATGGAAAAGACTGCAACGATGACACCATTAAAGCCAAGCTCTTTAACACATTCTTTGGCTCAGAATTTTTTAAGCAGCAATGGATCATGGCCAGTATTCCCTAGTTGAACCACAGACAACTACAGTGATCTAGTACATATCAATTTTACAGAAGACAATGTTGAAAAAGCACTATGCAATCTAAAACCATCTCTATCTATTGGACCAGATGGAATATGTTCCTACTTATTTAAAAAGCTATCCACTGCTGTAGCCAAACCTCTAAGCATAATCTTTGAAAAATCTTTCAGGACCAGCTCCTTGCCAAACCTATGGTAACTAGCCACAGTCATCCCCATCTTCAAAAAGGGAGACTCCAGCCTAGTTGAAAATTACAGACCAATCTCTTCATGCTGCATCACCTGTAAAGTCATGGAATCAATTATTAACCAATCCATTATCCTCCACTTAGAGACAAGCAACCTACTCTCTAATAAAGAATTTGGTTTCAGAAAAAAAATATCCTGTAATCTGCAACTCTTACACTGCAAAAACAGGTGGACTACACAACTTGATCAGGGCAAAGCAATAGACACAATCTACATAGACTTCTGTAAACTTCAGTGGTACATGAAAAACTACTCCTAAAACTAAAATCTTATGGTATTTCTGGACAACTGCATAACTGGATAGAAGCATTCCTGTCAAACAGACAACAAATGGTCAAAATTGGGAGCGTCCTATCAAATTCTGTACCTGTCAACAGTCGTGTCCCCAAGGCAGTGTTCTAGGACCAACTCTCTTCATACTCTACATAAATAACCACTGTGATCACATTAAGAGCAACTGCGTTCTCTTCGTTAATGATGTAAAGCTATTCAACACCACCAACAATACTGCTACCCTTGAAAAAGACCTCGACTATGTATCAGAATGGTCAAACTAACGGCAACTTCAAATCTCAACAAATAAATGCTCTGTCTTACATCTTGTCAAAAAAAAATCAGAAAATAAAATACAAGCTGAATAGTCAAGACCTTGTTGATGATCCAAACTCTGCAAAGGACCTTGGAGTACTCATTTCTAATGATCTACGTGCTAGAGCCCACTGTAACTACATAGCCAAAAGACATTAAGAGTTGTTAACCTAATCCTACGTAGCTTTTTCTCTGGTAATATCACACTACTAACTAGAGCATACAAAACATTTGCTAGACCAATACTTGTATACAGCTCATCAGTTTGGAACCCACATTATGTATCTGATATTAGCACAGTTGAGAAAGTCCAGAAATATTTCACAAGAAGAGTTCTCCACTCATCTATTCATTGCAAATACCTTATGCCACCAGACTTGAAATTCTAGACCTAGAAAACCTTGAATTATGCCGTCTTCGGTCTGATCTAAGTATGGTATATAAAATCATATATTGCAATGACTTACCTGTCAATGAATACTTCAGCTTTAACCATAACAACACAAGAGCACACAATAGATACAAACTCAAGGTTAATTGCACCAAACTTGAGCGCAGGAAATACGACTTCAGCAACAGAGTGATCAATGTCTGGAATACTCTACCTGACTCTGTGGTTTCTTCCCCAAACCCCAACTTTAACCTTAGATTGTCTACTATTGACCTCACCCCTTTCCTAAGAGGTCTGTAGGGGGCGTGCATAAACGTACCAATGTGACTACCATCCCTGTCCTATTGTTTCTTTTTATTTTTCTTATTTGTATCCATTTCATGTATTCATAACCATGTTTATACTTATATCTGTTATCTAATAATTGCTTGACAAAATAAATAAATAAATAAATAAATAAATAAATAAATAATGCTAGTCTAATATTTGTTTGTATGTCTCAGATTTATAAGCATTGAAATGCTACTGACAGATATTCCAGTTTGTTGATTTATTGTTCTAAAATGGTAGGATGTTTCTCTGTGGGATGAAGTGCTACAGATAAATTGTTTGTCATATAGATGCAAGTGTCATAGAGAACAATTTAAGGCAAGTGCTATTTATTCGCATAGATAAAATATAGCCGTTAACAGATCAAGGCAGTTTGTGATAGGAAGCCCAGTTCCGAAGTGTTACATAAGGGTTTCTGATAGGAAGCATAAATCAACCTAACCTAAGGGAAATAGGCTCTTGAGTCTATTGAGTCTGAACAAAAAGAGGACATTTTAATGATACATTTGTTCTGCAGGAAGAATATTCTATATTGCTAAAAAATACCGTATTCTTCATCAAAGTTATTATTATAAGGTATCACCCATCATATATATATATGTCCATCTTGAAAAAACACCTCCATTTTATTACTGATCTATCATTTATTGATGTTGAAGATTGTGATACTTCAGGATTTATTCCTCATATAACAACTTACAAAATATATTGTATTGTTTTAATAGCCTGTTCATGGCTACCAGTGCCAATGAATTGCTTTTGATTGTATCCCCCAATGTGTCTGCTTACTCTCTTGTAATCCCTTACTCAGTAATAAATGCAAATAGAAATTAGTTTATTAATTTCTTCATTCCAATTACTCCAATGATGGGGCAGCCAGGGAAAAGGGAACCTATGGTAAAACCTTAGGGAGACAAACAAAAGTGGAAGATGTGAAAGTCAGTTACAGGCAGGCAAACAGCTACCTCAGTCCTGTGGTGATTGCTCCAAAGGTGAAGAGGTGGGGTGAAGGGAGAGAAACAGGAGGTATAATAGAGTCATGTGATTTCCCAGTTAGCAACCACTTTGCTTAATGAAAGAGCTGCCAGTCCCAGTTATAGCCATTAAGTTAGGAGTACCTGAATGAGAATCTCCATAAACATATGGTAAGTTACGGGTATCTGTATTAGTCTAGTGAGATTATTTATCAGTGAGCTCATCTTGAGTTCTCAAATAGTTTTCCATTTAAGATAATTTACAAAACCAGACCTTGTTAATTTATATGGTATATAACCTTTGTGTTCATCATTTCAGAGCAAACAGAAAAATAGATGGATATTTTTATGATAAAATCTGTTCATCTATTTTTCCGGTTTATTTGAACCAGATTTTTATTTATGGTAAAAAAATAGATTTATCATTCTTAAATATTGAAGTTAGTAAATTGTGTCATTTGAAGAATAGTAGTAACAAAGAGTGTTTGTTTTCAAACAGCACATAAGTAGTAGAAGGCACAAAGACAGAGCTGCTGGGAAACCTCCAAAACCCAAATACAGTCCCTACAACAAACTCCAAAAAGGAACACACCCACTTGGGGTAAGCAAGTTTTTGACATATAGTATTACTGATAATATAATTTGAATCACAGTTCTAATAATGTTTTATGAAAAATCCATTTTTCTAGGTTAACTGACAACCCCCGAATAACCTTGCATTTTGTTGATTGAAAATAAGCCACTTATCATAAGCTAGCCATCCCTTATTCTTACCAAATTAATTTTTTTTCTTATGAAAACAAAACTAACTAGAAGAAAAGGGAAGGGGATATGGAAAATAGTGTTTCAAGTTTTAGAAAAATATGCACCTGATTATTGAGCTTTTCCAAGCATTCATTTGGAAAACTCCAAAAATCTAATTAATTTGAGCAAGGGATACTCAAAGCTTACTGTAGCCATTTCTGATATGGAGAATGCAAAAGAAAAAGACAGCTTGAGTAATTGAACAACCAGAATATAGTATTTGGATGAAAAATCACCATTCATGTAAGAGGATACTAGTGATATCACACATATGTTCTTCTCAGAATTACGTTCCAATGAATTATAGTGTTTGCTCCAGGTAAGTGAGTGCACAAGTAGGAAACTGTGATTTATTTGGTGTGCTATTGTCTTTCCCCTGCATCGTCCTTTTTATGATATAAAAATTTTGCTCATAATTTTTAGAAAAATGTTATCAAAAATCAAATAAATAAGAATAAATCAGTGTAATGATGATTAACTGTATCAATAGGGTATGCAGTTGTTTATATAAATTAGCTAATTACATAATGAAGGACTTGCGATCATGGACCCTGTGTTTTGGAGTGTGGGAATGATTCAATCCATCTTAATGTTTCATCGGAGTTCTCATCTCTATCACAAAGCAAATGAAGTCCATGTCCATCCTTCAGGAATTTTTTCCACTTTCTTTTTTTTTTTTTTTGTAAATTTTATTTGAGTTTTCACAAAAAAATAAAAAATACAAATAAAACATCTTTTTTGAAAGTAGCGTAATCCTGGGTTACATTTCTTGTAGCGTAATCCTGGGTTACATTTCTATTCTATCATTAATGTTAATATTCATTAAAATATTAACTTCTTTAACATTACTTTTCAATTAAATATCATACTTCTATGGGAACAATTATAAGCTTTCCATAATTAATTCCCCCCCTTCATTTATATTTTATAAAACATTAACTAATTAAAATGTTCCCGTCCCTTCCAAATTCAATTTTCTCATTTATTTTAATTCACTTATTTTATTAACAAACATTTCACTAAATTACACTAACTATTTTATCACTCATTTTAATCATACATTGTTTCCAATTTTCTAAAGTTATTTCTATTACTAATATAACAATACAATCTTATGTACCGTTACAGAATCCCTTTTTCAGTTAAATTTTCACCCATTATCTCTAAATAGGTCCTGTTTCTCTATATCTTGTTCCGGTCCTTTGCAACTTCTTTTCCTTTCCTTCTTCCCTCTCTTCTTCCCTCTCCCCTTTTTACCCCCTTGTCTCTCTGCCTCTATTTCTCTCTTCTGTATTTCCCCTCTTCTGTTGCTTTCCAGTATTATACTCATTTTTCGAATTATTTTTCTTTTCTTTGGTTGTTTTTTTAAGTCTTAAATTCTCCATTCTCTTTCCCCGCCCCTTTCCTTTTTCTTCCCCACATAGAATTACTTGTTCATTAAAGATGGCTTCTTCTTTGTCCCAGTCTTCTTGTTTTACAGACGTTTCTTGTTGTTTCTCATAGTTCCAAATCTCCATTTCTAAGAACTGAAAAATGAAGCCAAAAGAACCTCTCCCTTCTTGTGCATCTTCTTTATACTTTTTAAGTTCCATTTTCAATTCATCCAGAAGTGATGCCATTGTATAAATTTTTAAACAACCACCCGATTGATTTTAGTCATTCAAATGCAATAACCAAGAATCCAAAGATCACCAAGTAATCCAAATACACGCAAGCTGTTTCTTTTTGCTCTTTTTTTTTCACTTTCTCTTCCTGGGGTTCTACTGTTTAGTTACAAAGTTTCAGTTAAAATGTATCCTTTAGAAGTTTTACTGTAGATCCTTTTTAATTCCAGGCAGTCTCCTCCCTCTTTCCAGATCCTGCCCTTTTATTCTTTTTCTCTCCCTTCCTGCTTATGAAAAAAAAAATTAGTGTCCAGAAATCTTTATTATCCCTTTGACATTTTGTTTTATTTTCAGCTTAATTGCCTGTTGATGTCAGATTTTTCCGATTTCTTATTTAAGTCTCTCAGTATAGGGAAAGGGAGAGAAGAAGAAAAAAACCAAACCTTTCCCTTTTCCCTTTCCTTCGCTGTTTCCGACTCTTCTTTGGGAGCGATGTTATTTTTTTGTAAATTTAAATTCCAGAGTACCTTAGTTGTTGCTTTTGCAATTTAACCTGGTCAGCCAAAACTTTCACTTCTTATCTTCCTCCTGCACATTCTTTTCTGGTCGAGTTCTTCTTTGAGGTGGCCATTTCTGACCACCGCTGCAACCGCCTTTGGGAAAGGGAGTAATGGCCAGTTGAGGAGGAGAAATGCGGCTCTCCTCAACCCTGCTGGCAGTCTCCCCCCTCTTCACCACCTCTATGGGGTGGCTTAGCCCCAAAACCAGCTGGCTCGGGGTGCTCCGGCGGCGAGCCCGGACTGAAACCATGCATGATCGTCGATTTCTGTCTGTCGCCAAAGGAACTCAAACTGGAAGCAGGAATTTTTTTCAGTTTCTATAAGTGATGCCAGTGGCCCAGCTTTCTTCACGATTTGCTTCAAGGGAGTGCATTGCTTATTCATCTGCCTGCCTGCCTGCCTGCCTGCCTGCCTGCCTATCTATCTATCTATCTATCTATCTATCTATCTATCTATCTATCTA